AGCATGCCGAGATAGGAGAGAGAAAGGGTTTCGAAAAATCAAGAGAGATCTCTTTTTTTTTGAAATTTTTTTTTTTTTCTTCTTTTTTTTTTTGAAATCTTTTTTTTTTACAGTAAATGCATAAATTTCACAGTAAAAAAAAACATTATATAAAAGTTATGATATATATAACATAACTATATATATAATATATAACAGTTATATACATATATCATAATATATAAGTAAAAAAAAAATTTGCTAACGACTGAAACTATTCAAACTAAATACAACTAATGAATAGTAACAATACAACATATGTAATGAAGATGATAACAGTAACAAATAAAATAATAAAAAAAAAATGAATGAATTTGAAGAAAGTGGAATAAATTTTGCTGTGTAGGATTTTTTTTTTTTTTTTTTACTTTTGCTAATTATTAATACATATATAAAAAAAGGTAGACTAAAGGCTAGCAAAAGGTACCAAGGGCTATGATTACTTTTGTTGGTTGGAGGGAAGTGGGGATGGCAGCCTTTGAAAAAGCTGACTACATGAAAAATGCTAAATGGTGTTTAAATTATGATTAGCCGTAAGTATTGGATTATTGGAGATTTAAATAGGATGATTGTATGAAGAGTGAGGCACGGTTAAAAAAATAAAAACTTAAAAAAAAAAAAAAAAAACTTAAATAATTCCGACTAGCATATGGGAGTATAATGAAAGCTGCCATCCTCACGTGAATAAGAACAAAAAAAAAAAAAAAGCTTTCAATGGAATAAAAGAAAGTGTAAGATCTGATTGTTTAGAGAAACTCTACATTTTTTTTTTTTTTTATAAGAGGGCTCAAACCCCTGGCAAGTTGACAAGAAGTGTGAGGCACGACAATGGTGAGCATTGAGGAAATATCCAACCTTACCTGGAGTATTGGCTAGAGTTTGCAGCTTGTTGAGTGACGAGCAAGGGGGACGGGAAGGTGGACGTTTAGTTCAGAGAAAGCGTCGGCTAGAAGGACCAGCGTGGTTTATATGCCTCGGAAGCAGCTGTTTCAAGCGGTTTGCGTCTGCTCGGAGGTACGACAAGGTACTGGGAGGTGTGAGGTGGGAGCTGCTGCGGTTGGAGGCCTTGGATGGTAGGTAAAGGAGAGGAGGGAAGGCTGTCGTGAAGGTTTTGGTTGAGAGAAGTAGATCGGTCGGGTTATGAGAACAAACGAACAAGTGCTCTGCTTGTTGTGGGAGACGGACAGAGCCTGAACAAAGTAGAAATTTGATTGGGGAGTTCCAGAGAGCAGGGTAACCAAAGCAAAAATAAAAAAACTAGCCAAAATCAAAAGGCTCGCTTGCTCTTGTTTTTAACGTCTAAGCTGCGATTGGAGCGGAGTGCCAGCCTTTCAGAGAGGACATCCGAGGTTTTCTACGGGATTTCCGGGATTTAAAACAGAGATTCGTACCAGATTTTTTGAAGTTGATACGAGGTAAACATTTAATGCGATTGGGATTTTTCTTGTTTGACTTCAGCTGGCTAATCTTTTTTAGTTTGTCAAATTAATTTTTGCTAAATTAATAATAATATCAAAGCTCTGCTACTATGAGTAATGATAATCAACCACTTGACTTTAAGAACACACGTGGATCATAAGAACACACGTGGATCATTTGTAATAAGATTACTGAGTGCAAGATAGCAACTATTAGTAAACTTCATTTTTCCATGTCCGCCAAGAGAGATCGGGTTGGGTAGTTTGTAATATTTAGATATTTGAATGTTGCAAGTCTTGCTTATCTCACCAGCCAAAGGAAGATATTTAATGTGTGGACAACCCAACAAATTGTTCATCCATATGGTAGACCTTGCATCAATGTATTTATTTTTACTTAAATTCTCTAGACATTTTGGTGGTTGAAGGTCGTCGAGCATGTTCTTGGCGAAATAAAATTTGCACTTCTCGATTCATAATTTGGCACTACAAGCCTCCTCGGCATCCTTCACATTTTGAAGAAGTTTCAGTCTTAAATGGCGAAGCTCATTCATATGCTCTAACTAAAGCCGTTATCATTTTTAACATAAAATCCATCAAGTTGTTGAAGATAATTTGGCTTTTCAATTCTATGCGTCCCATAGAAATCATCCGAGGGCAGTTGCATGTAACACACATTTGTGGAGTTATCCATTTTTTTTTTTCGATAAGGAATTTGGATGAATAAACTGCCCATATTCATAAATTATGAGTTGCAAGTGATATAGATTGCTTAGAGATTCCGGTAGTAAAGTTTGAAGAACCTTTAAGTATCGAAGACGTGACAAATATCCAATTGTCTCAGATATCCTTTTTAGGCACAACGCATACATGTAAAACAAACAGATGATTTTCGATACTTTAAAAATTAGAGCAAGTGCTTCATCAAAATCTGTATCTTCTTTATAACACAAATAATGCGTACCAAATTTCCTTCTCTTTTTTTTTTTTTTTATTTTCCAATCTTTTGAGCACTTTTAAATTCCAACTTTGTCCAATATTCTCCGTAGCCTCTTCTCGAAGACAAGGTGGCAGAATAAAACCCAATAAATTGCTTTCTAGAATTGCCCTCGATGGCTTTCATCCATCCTCTAGAACACCACTGATGACTTTAGTTGCCAATGGAGATCTCAAAAGATTTTTAACTATTTCTCCAACAATGACTTTTAATTAAATATATATTCTTAATATCGACGAGTGGTGTTGTTCAGCACTTGTGAAATTTTTCTTCTCTTCAATATTCTCTACATAAATTTAATAAAAATAATACATTTTTTACTTCTTTTAATTACAATAAATAGTATATAATTTACACTTAATAAAATCCCCCAACTTAAACTCTTATATGTCCTCAAGCAATGGTGAAATCACCAATTAATTAACTTAATAGCCAAAGTAAAAGTTGATAGTTTAAAATTACAAAAATGTAAGATAATACATCACAGTTTTGAAGTAATTTAAAATAAGCAAAGTTATAATTCTAGTTTAAATGGTAAAAAAAAAAACTATCCCAATCAGTCACACTTACTTTTTCTTATAACTATCTCAGATGATCCAAATTTATTAAATAAAATGTATATTCTGAATGTCGACGATGTTACGGACGTAATGACGCTGTCCGTTTGTCAATCGGACGTCATCTGGGCATCTTCGAGGCCTCATTTCTGTCTTAGCGCAGACCTTTATATTATATTTGAGTCGCCTTTGAAATTTACGACGCTATCTTAAATGATTTAATTTGATCAAATAAAATGTAGACTCTTAATGCCGACGACGTTCCGGACGCAATGGCGCTATCCGTTTCATAATCGGATGTCATGTCGTTTCCGAATAGGCAAAATTCCTTGAGATTCGTGCCTTCGCAACATATTTGAAATTAATAAAATTTGAAGATAAGATTAAATATGTGATTCTCCCTCACTCCCTTTGGTATTTATTTTGACACTACAAGCCTCCTCGACATTTTTAGTACTTTGAAGAAGCTTGATTCTCAAGTGGCAAGAATCATTCATACGCTCTGACTCCCCAATTGAGCAAGACAAAGGATTGCAAATATTTAAACGTCCCGGTTTCTTCTCTCTCCCTTTTTTTTGTTTGGGATTTGAAGTTCGAACGGGCAAGTGTAAAATAATCTCAAAAATTTCGAGAGATGACTCTCCATCATCCATAAGTTTACCACATTCCTTCTTTCGATATCCTCCTTAGTCATTCCTTGAGATGGCTGAATGGTACCCAATGCAGTCCATATTCAAACTAAATTATCTTTATAAAATGTATGATCTTGTGGAAACGTACCACAAAGTGCAAGATAATTTTGTAGATGCCTTGGGAGGAACATGTAACTTAATCTTAAGATAGGAAATATGTCATTTTGACCCAATTTTGTGCAATCATCAATACAATTGAGCCCATCTGAGTTGTTACCAAAACTCTACTACCAAAACTCCCATAGGCTAAAAGGGATGGGCACCCTTCTCCAATCTACTTTTATCTTGTTTCTCATCATCTTCCCAAATGTTATCAGCACAAGTAAGAACTTTTTGGACATTGTCTTAGTCCGAAGACTATCTTGAAATGCCTTAGGTGTCTCTGAACGAGGCTTCTCCTTCTTAAGATATTCCAACATAACTGCAATGACCCCCGTTTTTTTTTTATATATCATAATTGTTGGAAACACAAAATCCACATTTTAAGATCAAATTCCTGTGCTATTTCATCTTCATAAATATGTTGCAGGGGAATTTTCTTTCCTTTACCACCACGGTACACTATAGATAAAAGAGAAATGTTTATGTACCAACTTGTTCGAGGCTCGTTTGATGGCTTCCTTAACCATTCCATAACAAAATCCAACACAATTCACATTCAAACTGAATTCTCTTTGTCAAATTTAAGATTCATGGGTTTTGTTATATGGGTCAACAAATGCCCCCCAACAAATGTTGTACGCGCCTAGAGCGAATCACGTTTGTTGTATGTTAGTTTTGAAGCAAAGACTTTGTTTGGGAAGAGTTTTTTGTTGCTTCTTAAAGCAATTTTTTAGTACAAACATTAAAAATTTTGTACTAAAAATATGCTTTAAGAAACAAAGCTTTATTTGGAACAGCTTTATTGCTGCTTTTTAAATCAACATTTTAGTATATAAATTAAAATTTTTGCATTAAAAAACTGTTTTAAGAAGTAGTAAGAAAGCCGTCCTAAACGAAACCTAAGCCAGTACAGTGGTTCAGGTTTATAGCAACTTTTTTAAATAAAATCTGATACACGTTAGACTTAAATATTACTCGTATATTTAGTACAGAATAGAATATACAATGCTTAAGTGTCATGATGCTTGAATATGCTCCCTTTCTTTGGGTGATTCATGGAAATAAGTTGTGAATCTTGCGAGTAAAATGCTCAGGAATTTTATTTCAGGGAGTATGAATCAAAGGAGATTGAGATTAAATTTGTATTTTTACAAGACAAATCAAAACAAGGAATTACTATGTACTAAACTTGATGGAAAAAAAAAATATTAGGCAATGATACATAAAATAAAAAATAGAAGTCTCTGTTCCTTTTACAGCATACATGGGAAGAATATTATACAACCAAGGTAAGTAAAAATGAGGTATCATTGGTAGCTAATGATCTGACTATTTTACCCACCTCAAAGCTGCAAATCAATGAAAAAGAGATATGAACTATAGGAGTTCAGCAAGCTGTGCCAACGAGTGATAAACAAATGTACATCCTGTGAATGATTCCTGTATAAGAATGATAACAGTGAAAGAATGTTCATATTTTTCATTTCTTCCAAGGTTTAAGGATCCCGAGAACAATGACAATGGCAATAATCAGGAGCAAAACTATTGCAATGAGCATGCATTTTCTTGATTTCTTTTGCAAGCTCTTTGCAGTTTGAAGGGCCTCTGTTCCGTTCTGTACATGGTTCACTGCATTTGCTACCTGAAAATTTAGTTTCAATTTGTTAAATAATGATTTTCTCTTGAGGAAGACGATTTCATGGAAGCATGATGAAAAATTAGTTGGCTACTGTTAACAAGAGATATACTCAAAATATATTAAAGTTCAACAAGTTCAGTATAAAGTTCCTAAAAATATTTTAAAGATATATTTCACTTGTGTCAATTAATTAATTACTAGTTCTTACTTAATCTTTTATGTTTTTTATCCTATTATTATAATAACTACTTCAATAAGAATGTTTTTTTTCTCTTTTATTATAAATAAGTCAGCTCGTGAGCTGACTTAAACTCATAGAATTAAGCTCAAATTCCATTAATTGATCATGTTCAAACTCGAGCCATTGTTGACTCGAGCTTAGCTCGACTTATGTACTCCCCAATTGCATATAAAGAGCAGAAAATCAAACCTGCGTTTCAATATTATCCAACATCTCTCCTTGTGCTTCAACTAGCACTGCCATGTCCATGAAAACCTATAAACACACAAAAATTCCATAAAATAGTATGTTGAAGCAGCACAACTTTGGAAAAATATATATAACATCAGCTAAACTGAATTAGTTAGGAGTATACTTGATGCAGTTCGAGCAGTTTCTTCTCAATCTCCTTCACTGCATCATGCCTTTCTTGAATCTCTTCCAAGGTATCAATAACCTATAAACATATTTCTTATTAACAAATCATTTTCTACGCACCATTTTCATAATCTAACTGCAGTTTTGAGTTAAACCTGCCCCCTTCCCATATCTTGAATCGCCTTTTGAAAGATTTTCTCGCTATCACCGGTCTCGATCAGTTCGTCGATCATCTATATATGTTTTCATAATTTTAATGACATAATGTAGGAGTTTTCCATTGACTAAATATGTTTTAATGCTCACCTCCTCAGTTGGAGTGGTCCCTGTGACTGATCAACGCAACATATTCAAAGAGAAAGGGAAAATTTTAACATCATTACATATAATTTTGCAATGAAAAAATAGATATTTTCACATTTCTTGGATGAGATTATAACAGAATGTCAGTTTGGAACCTGTAAAAAATCTTCTCTGTACAATTTCCCTGTATTCCTCTTGTATAGTTTGTCTCAGATTCTGTAATGGGTTATGCAATTTAAGCAACTATTTTGCATGGAGGATAGCTCAGAGAAGCAAAATAAATACCTGAAAATCGTTCACTTTATCCCTCAATTTCTTCTTTAAGGAACTGCAATCCATGGCAGTCCAGAATGATTACAAGCATGATAAGATAAGCTAGCATAGCTGAAGAAGCAAAACTTACACAGTCATGGCTGTTCTTGATCTGTCGACAGCCGTACCCTTTCCGCAACCAGAATTCTTTCTGTTCTCCAAGTTCTAAAAAACCAAGTAGCAGTAAGATAAGATAGATCTTCCGACACTAATCAAAACAAATTGGATTAGAAAAAATGCTTACATCACGATCTATTTCTTCTAATTTCATTTTGATGGCACGTGCAACTATTCCCACTTTATCCATGTCCTTATCCATCCTTTTCTTAAAATCTGGAAGAAATCCAATTTTACATTTTGTCAGATTATTACAATTGGAATAGCAGAAAAATATAATAATGATGAGCCTGATATAGGCTACCTTTCATTGCAGAGGCCTTAGTAACAGCCTTGGCTTCCTCATTGGCTTCCTGGAATTATTTTCACAGTTCATGTGATATAATGATCTAATCAAGAAACTTTATAATCTAGAAGAGATCAAGATATACTTGCTTTTAACATTTCTGCAGATGAAGACATACCTGGAGCTTCTTGAGGTTATCAGAGAGCTTTATCATAAGCTCCTCAACTTCTTTTACCTGTTTGAAAAATTCTTCCATTCCATAATCTGTTCTTAAGCTTTGTATTGGAAATCCCAACTCTATGTCTCTTTCCCTTGGAGACCTGTCTTGCTTCTCTGTGCCAGAAACAAAAGAGTCCTGCAAAGTGAAGCAATATCATGAAAGATTAGAAAATAATTTCTCAGGTGAGGTTTTCAAATCTCATTAAAAGTCTGCAGTCTCTGTAACTTCAGCTTTGCAACGGCTTAAGAGCATCTCCAAGCGAAAATCCCATTTTTCACACCAAAATGTAGTGAAAATAAAAAATCTAATGATTCATCTCCAATCGAACTCCAATTTGCGCGCTTCTGCAAAGGTAACCGTCTTTCTCCTCTTTGGAGCTCTTCTTTGGCAAACCCGCAAGCAATAGCGGAAGATTTGACGATGGAACGACGACACACGGATGTTTGGCAATCGGTTGGAGATGCTCTAAGCCCGAAAACTGTCGGAACAGAGCAAGTGACCCTTAACAGTTTAAAATTAGTTTGCGACAGATAAAAAAAGGCTTATCGTAAATCCAGTGACAGGCTCTTTTGGCAGTCGCAAACCAGCCATATTCTTTAGTTTTACATTAAATCATATCATATTCTGAGAGTAACTTCATCAAACTAATCAGATATTAAAGCATCACGAACATGCCATTACATAGTAGCTTCAAACAAGTATAACTATAAACAAAGCGAAAAACCAAAGGTTCTACCTTGAGAAGATCATTCATTTTCACAACTAAGAGAATTGGAAACTGGAAGCAGAGGAAGGAGGACGAAGGGGAAGACTAAACTGCTAGAGGTTCTGAAAGGCTCTTCCTTAAGAGACCGACGTCCAGATCACAAATAAAAGAATGAAAAGAGAGGGAAGAAGAAGATCGGATTGCAGCAGAAACAAACTGTTAGAGAAGAATCGGTAGGCTTAGATGAAGGAAAATGTCAGCAAAGCAGAACAAAAAACTAGCTATCAGCATTCAGAATTACGTTATGACTTATGCACAGCTCCAGCTCTCATGTTTTTAACCAGTCAGAAAAGGCCAAATCTTCATAAAGATCCAGTTTAAGAGATAATTAAGGAAAGAAAGCAAATTATAAATATTATTTCAAACTGATCAAAATTGCAAAGCGGAAGTGCTTTTTTAATTAAAATGCAAAGTAGTATTTCGTTTTAACTTAAAAATGTTCAGCATAAAAAGCTCCCAAAAAATTGTACTTAATTTTCTTAATTTTGTATTAAAATTATAAATATATTAAGTACATATAATATTATATTACAAATTATAAAAATATTCAATATTATAAATTTAAATTTAAGAAAAAGCAGAAGGAATTTAGGTTTTAATTACAAACACAAATCCATTTTGCGTTTTTAATTAAAACGAAAAACACATTTGCGTTTTAATTAAAAGAGTTTTTTTATTTTACAAATTTGATCCTTTTTAAATAATATTTATAATTTGCTCTATTTGCTTAATCACCTCATAAACCGGATATTTCTTGGCCATAAGAAAAAGATAAATGCATACAATGATAAATTTATGAGAAAATATCAAAATGATTCATTATGAAAGATAAAAATAATCTGTAATAATTATTTTGGTCTCTTAATTCTTTAAAGAGGAATCAAAATAGTCTACTATGAGATTATTTTGATTCTTCTTGAAAGATTTGAGCGACAAAAATGATCCTTTAATATAGTTAGAGATTATTTTAATCTTTCAAACGGAGTCAACGCACCATTGTGATCTTTATCTCAAAGTCATATTAGCAAGAGATTGAAAGAGAGATCTTTCACGCATTTGTCCATTTCAATCAGGACTCCATCCAGAGAAAATTTAACAGAAGAAACAAAATGTGCTGTTTTGCAAAGAATGTCAACTTCCATCCAATCAGGCGTTTTACTATTACATGTTTGTAGAGTTGAGAAGGCTAATATTATTGGTTATGTTCATGTTTTGTTGCTGCTGTTAACGTTTTGGAATAATAATTACTTAATTAGTGGAGGACAGAAAATTTACTATGTGGCAAATTGTGCAAATTCCAAGGGCCTTTGACATGCAATATTTGCTTTTTCCTGGGATGGATTTGCTAATTGTTATAGATATCATAAAATTTTGTTTGAGGAGAAAAGCTACTATCCTTTTAAAATGATGAGAAATTATTATTCTATGTGCGGAATCCGGTTATAGAACTGTATTCGGATGCTTATGTGGAAAGTTAAAAGTCCGCGATATTTATTTGACTTGCGTATTGATTGAGTATTTATTGCGTATTCGTTGCGTAAAATGTGCGTATTGATTGAATATTTTATTGCGTATTTGTTGCGTATTTGTTGAGTATTTGTTGCGTATATGTTGCGCATTTTCTGCTTAATTACTGCTTATTTGTTGCGGATTTCTCTTCGTCTGCAGTAAGTCCGAAAAGACAAACGGGTCGAGTAAGAAGTCAAATGAATATCCTAACTTTCCATGTAAGCACGCCACACGTAATGATTTTACTGGCATCCGAACACAGCTCTATAACCGGATTCCACACAGAATAATTTTTCTTAAAATGATAATACTCTCTCTCTCTCTCTCTCTCTCTCTCTCTCTCTCTCTCTCTCTCATTGTAGTATGGATGATTGTTGGAGATGATTCTTAGGCTTTGTTTGGGTCAACTTTCTTACTATTACGTTTTTCAAATCGCTACCAGAGTTTCTATTTGACCACTGTTTTCAAGAAATTTTTGTACAATGAAGCATATTTATACAACAATTTTCAATAAAGTTAATTTCTCTACAACAATTTTACAATCACCTTTATAAAAAATTACAACCGCCCAAAGCACTTAATTAGAGTTCATTTGAGATGGCTGTAGCTTTTTTTAGAGTTCGGTACAAAGCTGTTGTGGGAAAAAATAATTTCCTTAAAAAATATTATACAAAACAGCTTCCAAGTATAAAAATTTCTTAAAAATAGTTAAAATAACAACAATCAAATGAAAATTATGGTTACGGTCTGAATAAGTAAAGTGCTAACAAAGCTACCTCAAACGAAGCTTTAATAAAATTTACAAATGCTAGATGGTATTATGCATAATTTTTATGAGCGTATCTCTGTATTATGTTTAAGAACGGTCTTACTTAAAAGCAAAATAATTTTTTTTTTTGGCATATAAAATATTTATATTTAATGGAATACTTTAAATATTAGTGAAAGTACATTATTTTGAAGTGCTATTGATATTAATACACGGTAATCGTACTAAGTGTTTGTGTTAAATTCTAATAACTTCATTTTTGTAGTCTAAATTTAAAATAAAAACCTCTTTTTTTTAATATGCAAGTAAAACTATTTCCAAGCTATTTCTTATCCTTTTGTTTTGGTTTGGTTTTTGCTGTTATCCCAAACTAATATGAGTTTTTTTTTTAACACAAATATATTAAAAAGAAAAGAAGGATGCACTAAGAGAAATAAGCTTGTGGGGAAAAAGCTTCCACTTCCCAAGGACAAAAGAGGTAAGGATACAACAGGAAAAGCATCCCAAATCAAGCCACATACAGAAACAAAAGAAAAAGAAACCTCTCAAATGAGAAGGTGAACCCTTTCATTGGTTCGTATTACGCAATAAAACCCAATACGAACCAATGAAGGAGGTCACTCATTCAGCAATTGAGGGGCTCAAGTCCCCACCTGTGAAATATGTTGTAATATTCTTCCTCTTCCTAGGGGAGGTGGCCAAAGCGCATAAAGGCCCAAGTCGAAGGAGCACTCTGTCCAATCGAGACTTGGATACTCTTCATTGTTGCTTGCAAAAGTTCACAATCCTATTAGAAGTTTCTTCCACTTGTTGTAACTTCTCGGCCGAGAATAGAATAGGGGGATCGGCTTGTGGACGAGTGCCTTGATCTTTAGGAGCCTTTGATTTTTCCTTCATTCTCTGGGTGACTAGGTTCCAAGCTCCAAGGGAGGATTCTTCCTTGTTCTCATTAAGAGAGGGCTCTTCAACAACAATATGCTTCGGCTCTTGAGGAGGGGAGGGTGCTTGGGGGGCACACTCAGTTGTGGCTTGCACCTTGGTTGGCGTTGACTGCATTTGGGGGGATTGAGGAGCACGGGTTGAAGCCTTGGAAAAGCAAGCTCCATTGGCATGACCAATTAGACCACAGTCGAAGCAAAAGTTTGTAAGCCTTTCATATTCGACTCTTTGAAAAAATCATCCATGGAGCCCATTGATCCAAACCCAAACTTGAAGCTTTTGAGAGAGATCAATCATAACAAAAATCCTTACATAGGATGATCTTCCCCAAGTACTCGTATGTGAGTCCATCCACAAGGGTTATTCAATCATATTGGCAAGACGAGTGATGTTGTTCTTATCCCAGTACATGAGAGGGAGCTGTGGGAGACGTATCCAAATAGGAGAGTGAATCCCATGAAGAGAGTTGGGAGAGGAGGTAAGAGACCACTTGTTCATACCAATGATGTTCCCTGCTATGATCCACGGCCCACTCATGAACACCGCATCCCTAGCATCTATGCTTTAGAAAATACAAATAAAAGAGTTTGGAACTGTAGCAATAATGTTGAATTCCCCAAAATGATACCACCTACGTCTGAGCTCACTAAGAAGGAAGGGAAATGCAACCCTCCGTCCCATGAGCTTAACCACTAATGCTCTATCCAATTTGGCAATATTCTCGTGCACAACTGCCACTTCCGGCTCCATGGACTAGCCATCCTTGGCTAAGAAGATTTCACTTGGCATTTTATCCAACTTGATGAATTGGACCTTGTCCCAAGAGAAAGGGCCTGACTACAATCCTCTAGGCTGCAATGAAGGAGCTTGTGTGGGCTGGCAAATAAAGCTAGCTGATTCGAGGCACTCAGCGTCATTAATACAAACACTTGGAGGGTGCATTCTAGTAGCAAACTGCTAAATGGGGGAGGGATCCACGGGCTTTATACACCTGCATATGGGAGACTTCTCCACAGACATATCCTTAACGGAAGCCAACTGGACGCAATTGGTCGTCCCATCTTGCGGGGAGGGAGCAGAGAAATCAGGAGGAGAATCAGGTTGCCTAACCAACCCCATAGAATCATCTGATCGATCCTTATGTGCTGATCATCTTCCATTTCAGAATTAGGATCAGACACGGCATCCGACTCCTCCATCTCGTTTTCAGAGTCGTCCGATTCGCCACCAAAGCTGTAGTCGCTATGAGTAACCAAAACCATTGATTGGCTGAGCTGGTTGAGCTGAGCATCCACACTTGGCAAAGGGATCGCACCTTGCGAGGGTTGACCGGGCTTGGCTGGTTTGGAACCTGAAGGCTGATCGGGCAGAGGGATCGCACCTTTTGAGCCGGCGGAATCCATAGAGAGGGGCTTGACCCTACCATCTTGCTGATTGACAAAGTTAGCCGAACCTTGCGGGCATGGAAGCTGCATTTTCTTGCACACTGCCTCCTTACCCCGCCTGATGATGGCTTGTGATTTTGCAACAACCTCATTCGAAGATTCCCTAGAAATAGGAACTCGAGCCTTAGGAGGAGAATGGGACATGGAAGTCTCCGCCTTCTCGTCGCATATGGGTGCAATCAGATGCCAATAGTTATTTTGCCGATAATCCTGCCTACCGTAGCCTCTTCTCCCATTTGGAGAAGGTGACCTAAAGCCACCCCCTCTAGCCATCCTAGAGCTTCTCTTTCTAAAAAAGCTCTAGAGAGAGAGAGGTGGGATGATGTTGAACTCTTTCTTCTCTCATTGGTTTTCCCCAAACTAATATGAGTTTGTAATGGCTAAAGTTTGGAATTATGGGTAGGCTAAAGAACTCTACAAGGGTACTCGCTCTCAATTAGAGGTGTAAACGAGTCGAGTTGTGACCTTATAAAGTTTGGCTCGTCATCCAGAAGGTGAGCTTGAACTCGAGCTCAAAAAATGAGCTCGAACTCGACTCGACCCACAGTAAACAAGCTCGAATCGGCTCGCGAGCTCGCGGTCCTCTTCTGCTCACATCCAATGAATGTTGACAGGAAATAGAGTTTGGCGGTGCGGCCGTGGGCAGGAGTCATGAGAATGCTGATGGAGATTAGAAAAAAACCCAAGTGATCATGTTAATCATTGCTCGACAAGGCCATAATACCGTAATCGAGTTAGACGGAAGTGATTATTGAAAAGCTACCTAGACCCGGATCAACACTGAATGAAGGGAGACAATACTCTGGCCTGATCTAAGATCGATGGAACACAAAAGATGACTTCTTGACTGGCTAGATCTGAGATCAATAAAATAAAGTATCTTCGTCTTTAGGGTTTAGGGTCGTCGTTTTCCTTCTTTGCTTAGTTGGGATCTTTGTTCGTTTGTTCATGCTATTTTATTTTGTACCTCTGCGTTTCAGCCCTTTATAGAGGGAGGGTTGAAGAGTTCGCTCGTTAAATCCGCTCTATAGCCAGACAGTCACATGAGATTTAATAGAATTTATCAAGAATGTTACCAAATAGTTTTCAAGATTTATACACCGAAAAATTTTCGAAATTCCGGATTTAGAGGATTTATGAAATTTTACTTAAATCAAATCCTGAGTGCTACCAAACAGCCCCTTAGATTCCGCACATAACAATATTAGTGTTGGTGTTTTAGTTGATTTCCTACTTAGGCTAATAGAACAAAGTAAGTTTTTGTCGTCCACCCACGCACCCACCCTTCCCTTTTTCTTTTCTTCAGAGGCATGCCAACCAATTGAGTTATCTTAAGCACTCTGTGTATTTATTATCTTCCTTTTAATATACTTTTGGGACCTGCTCTTAACTTTCCCAAAAAATAATAATAATATAGTTGCAAGCGTGCCATTTAAAGATGTTGCAAATAAATTCAAATTTTATATGGAATGAACACAATTGCATTGCCACTAACCAGCCCAAAAATCAAAGAGTAATTGTTCATGAGCTCACAAGTTAATCACAAAGCCTCGGAGGGTGGGTATAGCATCAATGCATACCCATGAAAAAAGGATTAATTATTTTGTGCGGATTCCAGACACCGTCCAAAGGAGAATCACAGCGCGGTGCTCGGTACCGTTGTGTACCGGGTGACGTGGTGCGCTGTGATTTGCCTCTGAACGGTCCAGAATCCGCACAGAATAATTTCTCCGTGAAAAGAAAGCTAGCTAAAGCTAAAACATTTCTTCTATCCTACTAATGCATACTCCATTGCCTCCCAGTCTAGTGACCACCACTCACTCAACCATCTTCATTCAGGCTTTGGCTCTACTCTTTCCAACTTCTACATTAAAAAAAGAGTCCATATTTGTTGTTGGTGGCTTTGGAGAAAAGCTCAAGCGCATGCTTTAGCTAATGAAATCGTCTAATATCACTATCTCCTCCATTCAATAATTTCAAACATTTATTTTGAGTTCTGGAGAAGTAGAGAAAGAGTACTTTTAACGTGGTTGTGGGGCTGAGGTCACCTGGCATGGCCATCCCCGCCTGGAATATTTCCCATGAAGAGTGTAAAATATAGCAGGATTAGTGTTCCCACGCTGGACCTGCAACCAAATAGTTCATCAAATAATGAATGCAGCCGACCAGCAATCTGAATGAAACGTCGCGTCTTACTGTCTTAGGATATTGGGATTTTAATAAAATTAGATGATGTTAGCACAATTTGAATTGAAAATCCATTGTTGAAAGACCATTAATTACATAATTATTCGCTAATTTTTTTTGGCACTATAAAGAAAATGCAAAGAATCTGGACTAAATAGTAATTTAATGGTTGACGAAATAAATTAATTCAGCAAATAAATTAAAAACTGCTTGCACACAACATACAATAAAATATTACAACAACAACATTAAGCCTTTGTCCCACTACGTGGGTCAGCAACATGAATCTTTTTTCTCCATTGTGTACTGTTAAAAGTAAAATTCTCGTTTAAATCTAATAAAAAAAGATCATTTCTAATATTTTCTAACCATGTCTTTTTAGGTGTACATCTACCTTTCTTAACATAAGTCAAATCTAATACCTCTATTTTCCTAATCGGGTCATCGGAAGGCCTCCATTTTATGTGACCAAACCATCTAAACGACTCTCTCTAATCTTATCTTCCACGAGAACTACTCCAACCTTTTCACGTATATGCTCATTTCAAATCCTATCTCTAATGGTAAAGCCACTCATTCACCTGAGCATCCTCATCTCTGCAACATTCAGCACCATAAAGCATTACAGGTCTCACGACTATCTTATAGAATTTTCCCTTAAGTTTGAAGGGGACTTTTCTATCACAAAACAAACACGATGCATTCCTCCGCTTCAACCATTATTTAGAAGAAACTATAATGGAAAGAATTCACAAGTAGAAAAATTAGGCCTCATGACCATACAAGAAGACCGCCAATCCAAAAAACTTAGCAAACACATTTACACTACACTTGAGGAAATTAACATCCGAGTTAGCACTCAAATTTGAATAGAAAATCTAAAATTTATACTAAACAAAACGTTCATATTACTTGCTTTAGATATGATATTTATAATCATCCAATTTCTATGTTATCACAGTTTTCTGATTTTTTGGGCACCCAGAATCAGGCTAGGTCGGCTACAACAACAGATTGGGAAAAATGATATCCAATGATTTAGTAGAAGTAAACAAGAAAGAATTTGTGTTTATTTTTCAGTTCTTGATTCGAGCCACACACGCTATGATTCATCCCTTTCTACTAATTAAAAACAAAAACAAAACAGGAAACTGGAAAAACAGCAGGCGCATGGATACTAAGGAGTGACGCCCCTAGTAAAAGCCTCAGCTAAAGATAACATGTGGAGAACACCTGCTGCAAAAATGACGGGAAGAAGAACAAGCGACAAAGACAAAGTTGGACAGTGTGGGTACCTGTGGGATCAGGGAGAGGGGGAATCAGTTTTGTGTCAAGGCTGCAACTTTAAGAGAGAAAGAGATTATTATGTATTTAAAAGGATCAAACCATTTATTTTCAAACGTTCATCATAAACTTTTTGAATATTTAGTATTAAAAAAGTTAAATAAAATAAAAATAATAATAATTACTTAAAATTTGTTAACTAAAATTTATAACCTATGAAAGGCATAATTTTTTTTTTTTGATATTTAGGCCAATTAAAATAAATTCACATACAAATCACATTGTAAATTTTAAACTTAAAAACTCTTGATTAATAGTCAAAATTCCAAATCAGATGAACTGATCATAAAAAATAAGTGGGTTTATAAATGTGAAGTTAGCGCATAATGATAGCATTCGAGTTAGAGACTTCTGCGAGATGCTGATTGCTGAAGACCATCTTTGATTGAGATTATAATTTGGAAGTTATTATTTTGTTTGAGGCTTAACATTAGACTTAGATGATCATACTTGTTTCAAGCTCAGACTTTAGATTTACTATTCTATGTAGAGTCCGGATGGCATCCAATGGCCAATAAAAATATACCAAGTCACCCCATAAGTGTACCGTGCTTGGTACCGAGCACAATAATGAGTTGTATCGAGCGCCTGCACCGCTCGATACCGCACTCGGTACCAAACAGTACTGAACGATTCTCCAATCTGATTTCCGCACTTTAAAGCCTGAATCTCGCAAGAGCGTTTTTTTTTTTTACAGAACAAACAAAGTTTGGGGAACAGCTGAGACTGAGATGACTGCTTATTGATCAGATCCATTAATACAACACTAAAAAAGGACCGATCCGCATCATAGTGGCTAAAAATATTTAAATTAGAGTAGCATATTTAATCATCATTTAAAAAAAAAAATGTACAGTAAATAAATAAATGAATATATAAATGTGAATCATTTAATCCTATTGATGTCTGCCAGAATATTTATAGTAACAAAAAGTGTTAAGAGTTTATCATCATCATTAGATAACAATTCCACACTATATAATAAGTTGAAAGCATCACACAGGTGACACAAAAGTGTTAAAGCGTAAACATGACAAAGAGGAAAAAAAATGCCATCTAATTTAATCAAGTGTCATAAGAGAATCCTTCTCCATAAATAAATAAGGCATTAATTTAAAGTTATAAATATGAATTATGAAAGATATCTTTTGTGATGGTAGAAGAAGGATCCATGAGATTTTCATATAATTATGAGGGGTGGTCGGCTTGGTTGGTTTCCATAAATAAGGAGATATTAGTAAGGGAGATTAGATGGTTAGAAAGATGGGGATCAATGTATGTTTTTGATAAAAGTTAGAAGTTTGTGTTGCTTGGGTCGCGATTGCTGAGAAACGTTGGAATTTGGGTGATAACATTTTATTGTTTTTTTAACTCTCCTTTTTGGTGGAGAGTGACCAATTAGCAAGATGAGTATTAGATTTCAGTAGTTGATGAGCGTCAACAGTTGATAAATGTCAGTGGTTGACGAACATTGATGTCTAATGAACTTTCGTCATTGATAGATGACGATCAATGAAGAATGTCATATGTCATGTGATGGCACATGAACTTATTCATTCTTAAGGGTAAATGAGGTTGTTTAAAGAAGAGAGATAAATGATCGTAGTTTTTGAACATTAGTTATTAATTATCATTTGGTGCAAGCAGTTTCTATGAACTATATATAATCAAGCACATATTTTGTTGTTGTTTCTGTATTTCAAAGAACACAAGAGCCAGGGACTTTGAGAATTGATTTATGATGACAAGGACATCATTTTTAACTGTTTTGCAATCAAACTGATCATTTTGTTGAAATAATGGCAATAGTATCAAGAACGTTTAGATCAAAGTCCAAATGAGCTTAAATCAAACATAAATTTCATGGACTTTTTGAAGAGTCAACGATTCTCTAAATTTTGAGTTTAAGTGCTTTATTATTATGAATATAATGGGCTCAATACGGTTGGAATTTGAGTTCATTAAAGGACCAAGATATCTAAAATTCATAACATGATTAAAAGGGATTGATTTCGAATGTTTGTTAAGTTCATATCTTTGATAAAAATTTACCGTAGCCTCGAAAATTTATAAATAGCCATAAATTTTAAACTTAAGGAAGACCATATGTGGAGATAATTTAAAGAATTCAAGAATTCAAGAGCTTTAGCTACCATTTTAATAAGTTCTAAGAATTCTTTAGTCGCAATTTCTCTTTTCTTAGTCATCCAATTCTCCCTCCTATTAGGAGGACAATTGCATCAACAATCTTCTAGCACTTGACTTATGATGCTGGCATTTAAAGTCGTCACAGCTTAACCTTCATTTGCCACCATCAACTAATGTTCACAATCCTTATGGAACCATCAGCTAATATAGAAAATCTTTGTCCACTAATGTTGACAATAGGCATCCCCCATCTTTATAAATCTTTTATAAAATTAATATTATATAGTATATTTTAATACTTTAATTTAATTTAATATAAAAATAGTAAATATTAAAAAAATTATTTAAAACTAAAAAAACAAGCTCAACGATCGAGTCAAGCTTAAGCTTTCCAAATAAGCTCGAACCTATAAATTTTTTGACAAGTTGAGCTTGAACTCGATCTCAGTAAAAACCAATCAGATTTATCTCAATTAGGTCGACTCCTTTACACCCCTAACATACATAATAATAGCTTTTATTTATATATAAAATTAAAATTTATGACATTTTTTTAAATGATAAAATCTTTGAAATTTGAAAAACAAAACAAAACAAAAATAAAATTTAAAATTTATTATCGTTTTCAATATTGTGTGAGATTTTGCAGGTAGGAGCGTAGGACAATATTAAATTTATAAATAATAAAAATTTGAATGTTATATATAAAATTGCCAAAACAATTACGGCTTTAACGAAGGACTCACAAAGTTGCGAAGAAGACAAGAACTCGCCGGGGATCGAGCCACGGAGCCGGACGCCTAGAGGCGACGCGCCGGAGACGGCCGTCAACTGCGGCCGCTCTCGCTGTTGTGGTCATTGCATGACGAAGAGTTCCGTCTTCCCCATCGTCTATCACGTGTACCAAAGCAGCCAATTTCTCCGCGCCTTCGCATCAAAACAACCCATCCCATTAGAAACTGCCGTATTAAATCAAACGGATACGGGATACAGTGTATTGATCGACGGAGGCTTTTGATTAAGCAAAATTTTCTAAATAATTTTGATTAATCAATTTCGCAGGTGATATTTGATCTATTGGCAACATTATTTTATTAAAAAAAACCTAAGATAACGCATTTGATAAATAAAATAATTATTCATGAATCACGTAAATTTCCAATCCCACAAAATGAGAAAGAGCTACAATAATTAATTATTAAATTCGAAAAGGTTTTTCTTAGACTCGATCGGGCAAGAAAACAAATTTACCATAACATCTTAATTTTATCTTTAAAAATCTTATAAATCCGTTCCTCAACCAGCTTCGAGTAAAATCGTCGGATTGCACTTACCGTCGGTGACTGCGACGGCGGAGTTTGGCGACTTTAGCTCTCCTCCACGCTGCGATCCCTTTCGAGAGAGCGTTTTCTTAACCTATATATGAAAAAAGACAAAATAAACAGACGTTTCCTAAATTGTACTAAGAAAATAGCAATTGGAGATAGGGGAAGGAGGGGAAAAGAAATTACCGAATTTCGCGCACCGGCGGTGATATCAAGTTCACCGGCGGCGCCGGTCGCGAGAAGCGAGAGATTGGCGACATCAAGGGCGACGTAACCATTGGAGTTCGCCTCCGGCACCAACTCACTCTTCCAATCATCAAAGTGCATGCCGGATTTACCTTCTTCGGCGAAATCCTTATTTAGGGTATCAAAACCTAGAATGTGTGAGAGTCGTGCGACAGAATCGAGGAATGGAACAGTTTGAGAAAGGCAGAGGAACTAGAGAGAAACGGACTGTAGTGAGCTCACCACATTGAGGGTTTCCGCCATGGAACTGACTGATTATTCTACTTGCCACGCGATGAATTAGCCTAAAAAATGATAGAATAAGCTGGGAGTTTTATCGAACAGTTCGCGGGCGAAGAAGGTAGCAGGAGTGCAGTCTCTCCAGTCTCCACTTGTCTTCCATTTCCGCCTTGTGTCCTTTTAAGGGAATCCGAAGCAGTTGCGAGGGCAAAGAGGGAATTTTGTTTGAGCAAATGTGGGTGATTCGGCCTCCAGTGCTCAGACAATTGATTCTGCTAACTTATTTGTGGAACATATATGGGGCTTGACAATGCAGAAAGTTGGAAAAATTAGAAGAAGAAGAAGGAAAAAAAAAAGAGGCTTCCGTAGAATTAATTAAAATGAAGATGATGGCTTTTTATAATTGATTCTTATTAGTGATGTAAGCTAATTTTAATTGGGCAAATTAGCTCTATAGTTTCTTCTGCTGAGTTTATAATGGAAAAAATTCACAGGTCTCTAATTCTTTTTAACTTTTTTGATTATGTAATGAAGCTATGTCTAACTAAGGTGATGGAATTTTTTCTCTCTATGATTTTCAACGTGCAATATTTTATGTGGCAAATATTCCTAGCTTTCTCTATTAATGGCCAAAGGATGTAAGTTAGAGAGTCCATTGTCAAGTGATAGTGATCGAAGGGACTGTAGTTGTCGGGCGACTGATGTCAAATGTATATTTATTGGGTGATGAAGATTTAAGGGACTGTAGTCAGCGGGCGATAGAGGTCGGAGAGACCCTTGTCAAGTGATATAGATCTGAGGGCCCATTTGTCGGACTATGAATATCGTGGAAATTATGGTCAACGTGTGACAAAGGTTGGAGGTATTGCTGTCCTATGACAATGGTTTGAGGGACCATAATAGACGGGCGACTATGATCGGAGGGAGCATAGTTGAGCGACATATGTCAAAAGGGTAGTAACCAGGCGACAAAGGTCGGAAAGAACATTACCATATGATAGAGGTCGGAGGGATTGCTGTCGTGCTACTGAGGTCAATGGGGGCTATAGTCGAACGGCGGCTGTGATCAAAGGGATCGTAGTTGGGTAATTGAGGTCGGATGGACCTTAGTTGGGCGACTGAGATTGAAGGGGCCCTTGTCGGGTGACAGAGGCCATAGGGACTATAATTGATGGGCGACGAAGGTTGGATCCATCGTAGTTAGTGGGTGATGTAGGTTAGAAGGACCATTATCGACGGGCAATGGTGGTTAGAGGGTCGGTGGGCAATTATGGTTGAAGGGATAGTAGTTGGGTGATTGAGGTCGAAGGGACTGTTGTTTGGTGTTAGAGGTCAGAGGGACTGTAATCAGTGAACGATAGAGGTCGGAGGGACCGTAGTAAGCAAGGGACGTAGGTTGGAAAGATCGTTATCAGTGGGCAACCATGGTAAGAGGCTTCATAGTTGGTGGGCGATTGTGGTTGGAGGGACTGTAGTCATGTGACTTAGATCTAAAGGATAATTATCGAGTAACAGAGGTCGAAGAAATCATAGTTGAGCGATGGAGGTTAAATGGACTATTATTGGGTGACAGATGTCTGATGAACTATAATCGGGTAACTAAGGTTGAAGGGACCGTTGTAGGGTTACAATCGTTGGAGGGATCGTAGTCGACGGGCGACATAGGTTGGATGAAAACTCGGTGATGGAAGCTAGCTAGTCAAAGTTCAAATGAAGATGGTCGAGCGGAGATCCAACAATAGTGGTTGTGTGGCTAGGATTTGTAGATGGTGGTGCCTAGGTGGAGCTCTAGGACTCTTCAAGCCTCATAGCTCTTTTGAGTCTATAGCCATGGTTCCAAGCCTTCAAATGGTGTTGAGAGTATGAGTTTATTTATAAATTTTGAAAGTGCCATGCTTCATAAATATAGAAAATATCAATGACAAATTTGGAGTACTCCATTGAACAACCCATATTGATTTTTTCTAATCATATAGCATCATTCAACATTTAATTTCCTTATGATGTTAGAATTAAGTGATTCTTGCTCGTTGGATTCATCTCATCAAGCTGCTTAATATATTCAACTATAAGAATGCAATTAATGTTCTAAAGATTTCAAATATGTTTTAAAGCCTTTGATTTATACCATTTAGGCTCGGATTGGTGTTGTTGGGTTTGCCTCATTGAGAATTTCAATTTGATTATAAGTTTACTAAAATCAGAGTTTTGATGATCCTGAATTTAATTTTAAAAGTTTTCAATTAAGCTATGCATCAAAACTAATGACAAAACAAGATGTTTCTTGGTGACGAACAATCATAAAAATAAATTATGAATCATCCATAAGAAGTACGTTAAAACTGGAGGGCAGCCCTAACGACAGCCTAAAGTTAACGTTCATGTGTGTCTGTGTGTGTGAGTATTGTTGGGAAAGTATAATACACAACATATACAAATAAGAAAGAAAAAAGGCAGTAAAAAGAAAAAAAACAATAACATTTAAATTGAAAAATTGCCGAAATCAGGAAAAAACTGGGAGCCACACCAAGAAATTCACTTTGGAAATTGGGAAAAAATTTGTTATATCTCAGTCTCTTACTCTCTCCTTGTTTCTATTCACACTAGTTTTGTTCTCACTCTTGAACTAACAAAGAGATACACATTAAAACATCATAGGGATGCAAGCTTTCATAAAAAAATGAGAAAAAAAATTATCCAATCTGTCTCGTAGCGTCGTGGTACTAGGTTTGGAGCCTCACGATGCTCCAATTTGTCTAGCAGCGCCGCAGCATTGGGGTTTGACACATCACAACACTTCACTCTATGTATTTTTCTTGACTCATAGCGTTGCGACGCAGGGTTATAAAAGTCCGCTATGCTCTACTCTTGGTATGCCTCAACCAAACAATACAATGTCACAACACTTAGGTATACAGTAATACAGGCCATAATATTGTATGGTTATATGTTAAAAAAAAAATGTGTGCAAAGCACTTGAATCAAAGTAGGGGGAGGACCCCCTGAAATCCTCCAGCGAACTTGATAGTTAGAATTGAGGTCAATCATATTACTCCACACAAAACAGATATAAACATGTCATTATGCTGGTGGTGGGAGGCCAGCATGGATAGCTCTGAATCTTTATGCTTTACGTAGCTTCAACGCTTCAAAAAAGAATAATGGAGATAGCAAAACATACTGCTTGAGTGGTTGCGTAAAAATAAGGTAAAGAGGAATGAATCGAAAAGGAATTTATCTTTTAGCTATCTCTCTCTCTCTCTCTCTAGAAGCACCTAACTTGGCTAATATATATAGTTCCTCAGTAAATATGACTAATCGATGCATAAATATATGATTTCTATTAATATTTGATTTGTGATTTGATGTGCTTAATGGGTTTTAATTTTCTGACCATGATTATCACATGGGAAGTTCGCGTCATAGTTTTGAAAATAGGAAAGAAATGGATGATATGAACAAGTAGCTTGAAGTTTGAACTATTGAAAAGAAAATGGAAAATTTTGTTGGGGTGGCCCCCGCTAAAATAATTTAAAAAATTCAAAAGACATGCATTAAACTATCGAATGATGCACGTAATTATGATGGATTTGATTTCATTTAGGACAGTTTTTTTATGATTGTAATCATAATTTTTATTTAACCTCTAATTTTTGAATTCTTTCAAAAAAATTTGTACTTTGTTTTCTATAACAGCTTTAAATTTTTATTTAATCTCAAATATTTGGGACATCTTTCTTAATGCTTTGTTTGACCACTACTTTTTAAATCTTTCAAAAAAAATTTACAATAACTTTAAAATTTTATTTTCTCTGCATAACTTTTACAAAGAAGTGAGAAAGCTGTCTCAAACGAAGCCTTAGTTTTACATAACTTAGACTTCGTTTGGGGCAGCTTTTTTGTTGTTTTCTAAAACAGTTTTCTAGTAGAAATAATTCTTGAATTACAAAATTTTATACTAGAAAGCTGTTTTAGGAAGTAGTACTAAAGCTATCCCAAATGAAGTCTTAGTTTCATATGATTCAACTCATATCTAATTGTTATAAATTTGATTTTAATTTGATTTTGAGTCAAAAATAATATATATAATAAAAAAATAATCCTATTTTTGAGTGAGCTTCTAAGTCAAATTCACATCCTTGATTTCTCATTGTTCATAATGATTTGATAAACTTCTCTAGCTATGTTGTTGTTACACATGAAATATATCCTATAGATTTAAAAAAAAAAAGAAAAAAAACTAAGATGATAAAATGCTAAACAAACGAGAAGCTTGAAGAGAAATGATAAATAATAACATGAGATAAACAAATGAGATATAAATTTGAATGTTTTTAATAGCTTTATATTTAAACACATGCATTTTAATATATTTTTATGTGCATTTTATATTAATATTTTCTAAATAAGTCTTCTCTCAAGCAAACTCTTTGAGTCGAGACAAGCTCAAATTTTACTCGTTAGCTCATGAGGCTTATCTCATGTGCTATTTATTGAATCAAGCTTGAATTAACTCACGAGTCGACTTGACTCACTTACGTCACTATGCAAAATACTTTAAGATTTTGCCATGTTGAGCAAAATAAGAAACAATGCAAACGCTATATTTTATGCTAATTCTTTCCTACATTGCTTCCACCACTCACACAAATCCTAAAATAGTTGCTTTAGATATAAAATTCATTAAAATAAAATGAGATTCTTTACCACATTTATGAATTAATGCACTCAAGAAATAAATTAAGTGATTGTGATGTAAAGTGAGAGTCTCTTTTCACTTTGAAAATGTAGAAAGTAAGTTTGCATAAATTTCAATGTGGCATTTATTGAGTTATATATAACAATTGCCAAAGTTGATGTTGAAAACCTAACAATCAACAACTATGTGAGTGAGATGGCCTTTCAATTCTCCTTTATATCTATTCTCAAAGCAACAAGGAAAGTGCATAGAGTATCCTAAATTAACAATTTTGCCTTACTATCATCACATTGGATCTATTACCCTAATGGCCATTGGGATATTTGGAAAAGAGCTTGAAATAGATTGATTTTATTGATGCTATTTATTCTTGATTTGGCTTAATTGAGCGGCTAATTGGACCGTTTGCGATGGCTACTATATTTGATGTATTGATGATAATATTTTCATAAGAAAATTGATTTTTTTGGTCCTAAATTGAGCTTATAATAAGTACTTATGATTATTAAATAAATGATATAATTTTTTAAATATTTAATTAAAAAATAGGGTATGAACTAAAAAATACATCACTTAGATTAGAGTTGACCTCC